AGGGACAGGAGCGGAGGGCCCAGCACCGCATCCCCCAGGCGGTGCCAACTCAGGTTGAGACGTCGTGGGACAAACAGCGCTCCTGGCGCGACCCCTGGGGCGGAAGCAGAGAACCGGGGTGTGTCTGAGCCTTGCGCTGCCTCGGTTTCCCCAGGTTGGCTCTCCAGGGCGCAGTCCCCGGCGGTCCCCGCCCCTCCCGGCGCTGTGTGGACCCTGCACCCTGAGAGAGAGACCCCCCGCTGGGCCTGGCCCGGAGGCCGGTACGGGGACTCGGGCCGTGGAGTCCTCCCGCCGCCAGGGGCCGCCCCGCGCGCCCACACGGCCCGCCGACTTGGCAGCGGCGGCCGCAGCACGCGGAGCCTGCCCTCCGGCTCGAGGCCGGCCCGCATGCTCAGGGAGAGCCCCCGGCGATCCGTGTGTGGTCGCCATCGTGCGAGTCTGCGCGCGAGGGTCCCGGTGGGACTCGACCACCGCCCCTAAGCGCAGAGTACCACTCGTAGACAAGGGCGGCAGGAGCTGCTGCCCTTGGCTCCCCAGAGCACCATGCCACCAAGGCCGACACCCTAAAGCTTTTTGTGTGGCTGGATTTTGTGGAATTGGTCACCCCTGGAGCTCTGGTGGCATAGTGCCTGAGGCCTTTGCTAACCAGGACGCTGGCGGTTCAAACCCACCAGCCACTCCTCGGAAGGAAGATGGGGCAATCTACTTCCGTAGTGATACTGCCTGGAAAACCCAAGGAAGGGTAGCTATGAATGGATGCTACTCAATGGCTGTGAGTTTTTCTTTTTTTGCTTTTGGCCTCTCCAAGGGCACTCCTTTCAAGGAAAGAGATTTGCATACTTCAAATAAGCAAATCCGGTTGAACCACCCTCATTTGCAACAGAGAACCGGGAGAGGACAAAGATTTGAAGTGATATGGAGGCAGCGAAGTATGCACAGGCAGCTGAGCTAAGTGAGAAGCCGGGTGCGACGGCAATGCTGGCGCTGACGCCACTGCCCCACGGCCTAATGAGCGTCACTCCCTGATGGGCAAGTGGAACTCAGCTGTGCCTGGAGGAACGGGGAACTAGCATGGACCGAGCTCTTCGGCAGGCCAGGGACCTCCCTGAGCACGTGGCCTGTCGCTTCTTTGTCTCACGAAGCACAGCCCTAAATATAGCTTGTTCCCACACTGTGGCAGGAATAGAACTGGTGGCTCCTGAGCCCCAGCCCACACACTTGTCAGGAAACAGAACAGCTCAGTGACTCCCCTAGCCTGGCAGCTAGGGAGGGAGGCAGCTCACATCTTCCCCACCCCACCCCCAACTGCTTCCTTGGCTCCTCGGTGCACCCCTCCCGACAGCTTTCTTCTTCAGCCTGGTGCTACTCTCTAGAAGCACCCAATTTGCGTGAGCTGTAGGCCCGAGGACTCCCCACCCCCCACCCCCCACATGGGGTGTGAGAACCCTCTACAACTGTGTATTTTGCGGGGGTGGGGTGGGGGGAGGGGTGTGTGTGTGTGTTTCCAGCCCTGTGATCTGATTCTCAAAGGGGTTTGTTGTGATGCAAGAGGCAGATCTCAGGGCACTAGGAGCAGGGCTGGGGTGCAGTGAGAACCCTGCCCAGGACCCATCTGTAGGCTGAACAAAGTAAGGAAGCCAGCAGGGCAGGGAAGAAAATGGAGTGATATAGGGCCTTAACAAAAGGGAACTTGAGGTTTAAAAAAAAAAAAATGTGAGCTTGGCAGGGGCAAGGAGTTGGAAGTACATGTGCCCTGGCCTCCTCACTGCCGCTGCCACCCTACCCCCACCCTACCCCCACCCTGCGGTTGGTCTCACTTCCTTCACCTCAGCCCCTGTAACTGCCTAAAGGAAGAGTTTTTTTTTTTTTTTAATTGATGTTAAAATTTCTGCAGAAAAAGTGAGGGTACTTGGGGGTTCAAAGCAGCTTCAGGAGAAGGAGGCACCTGAGTTAGAGGTTGCCTCATCCTGAGGAACTGCCTAGTACAGGGGGAAGTGCCAAGTGGCACAGCCCCGTGAGGCACCACGGAGCCAAGGTTCCACACAGCCCCAGGCAGAAGCGCAGCTCGGTGCCCTGGCTCCTGGCCAGGAAGGTAGGTCTGTGCTTAGGTTACTCACTCTTGGGTATCAGTACCCACGGTAACGAGACACCACAACTCATGTTACAAAACAAAACCCTCTGCCCCCCCTTCTTGCCAAAGGTGTCTTCTGCCTCCACCTCAGGAGGTCCGGGAGTGGTCCTATGGAGACCTTTCAGCCCAAAGTAGTTTTGTGCCTCAAAATTTTAGGCAGTTAAGAGGCAAAATGAAGTTTAAAAGAAAGTGACATGTTGTAAGGTTAGCTAATGAAAGAAGGCACTGTTGTGTTTCCACCAGCACTTCCGTTCCGGGGTCACTCTGAGGTGGCAGGAGCCTCGGCACAGTGAGCTCGATCCCGCGCGACTGGGGCAGTCCTCGTCTGCGCGAACACCAGGGAGCAGGCTGCAGGACTTACACACTGCCGCAAACACAACAGTGCCGCTCTCCCACGGACTCACTGAACCTTTTAATTTGTTTGGACAATGAACCTAACAAGGACTTAAGCCCTCAAGCTAAACAAGATGTTATGGCCCTTGGTGAAGACACCAAGGCGGCTGGCAGGAGTCAGGATGGCTCCTTGGTGGGAAAGGAGTGAGTTACACAGATGAATTATGGGACGCAAGGCTCCAGTTGTAGGTGTCAGGTCCAAGGGTAAGAGGGATCAAGGTGCACTGCCTCAGCCTTAACCCGGCACTTCAAAGGGGCAAACACCCTTCCCTGCCACCACCGAGAGCTCTGAGGGGAAGGGGGAAGCTGTACCGGAAAAGAAGGGAATGAGGTGGGTGGGAGAGCAAGAGGTGGGAAGAGGAGGTCCCACAGTTCCCTGGGCCGATGAGTCAAACCCTGGGCTCGGCCTTCAGCCCCCAGGACCAGTCAGCAGCATCTCTTCCTTCTGAAGGTCATCTGAACTCACGGAACCGGGAGCGTCAGTGTTCTGTCCACCCCCAACCCCAACACTGTTGTTCCTTTGTGTCTCAAAAGACTTGGAGCGATGAAGCAAAGTCCCCAGGAATTTCTTTCCCCTTCAGAAAGCGGCCAAGTCTCCTGGCAGACATGTCCCTCTACCCAGCCTGCATGCAGGAGGGCTGGAAGGGGGCCGCCCTCAGAAGGACCCATGGGTCCCGTGTCTGCTGGAGAAGGCGCACGGTCCGTAGCGGCTCAGAACTCCCAGTCGTCCACCTCCAGCTCCTCCAGGTTTGTTACGAGGCCAAAGATCCCACTGTGATCCTGAGCCTGGCCGCCCTCGAAATTGGTGATGGGAGTGACAGGGCGAAGTAATTCAGGCAAAGCCTCTGAGGCACGTCGCTTGATCTGGGGGAGGAGAGAGAGTCGGGGGATGGGTCCTGTTGCTCTGGGTTCCAGGACACCACTTTGGCGACAGAGGGGCCAAGAGTCTCCATGAGGAGGGAGCAATGCCTTTAATAGGCTTCTGAAACAGAGTAATTTCTCCCAACTCAAAGGCAGGAGGAATGAACTGTGGGTATTAAGAACCATCGGCAAGAAAAACAGGAAGCTGAGGAAAAGGCTACTGTACCTGCTTGAAGAAAGAATGGTTCAGGAGGGTGCTAGCACTTGGCCTGCAGAGGAAGGAGAAGTAGGACCAGGATCACCCCAGGGTTCCGGAACCCCAAATCCTGCTGCTCGCCCTTCAAGTGCTCCTCTGCTCCCCTCAGCTCAC